GCATGGCTGGCTGGGGAATTCTGGGAGCTGGAGTCCACGTATCTCAAAGTTGCTATGGTTATGAAACATTGCTTTAAGAAATGGTCCTCTGCATCAAAGATATTAAAAAGTAGCCTATAGATACCATGAAGTTTGATCCGTGACTTGCCTATCCTTGTCCTAGATTACAAACAAGAATGTATTTGATCTACATCCTTCAAGGCTCTGTATTTCATGACTGCAGTTCACCAATCAACTCTGGTTTGAAAACCTCAGCTTTTTAGCTTTTACATGAACAGGTTAAACATGGCTAGGCCGATAAAAAAGTTCAAAAGCCAGGAAAAAGGCAGTAAGCAGGGTTGGTCTTCTGGCCTCTGCCCAGTATTTCTTCTAAGTTTTCCTTGAGTTAGAGGCAGTCTTTGACTTGGAAACACATGCACTCTTCCAAGCACAGAGCACTGGAGAGAACCTAACAACACTGGAAGAGCAAGGAGAAAAAGTCACAGTGCACAGCTCACCCATCACCAGCACTGAGACGTGTCAGCCATGGTTGGTGTGTGAACCTTGCTTACTTTTATCCTCCAGTTTGCACATTGCGGGAACTAAACACTCTACAAAGTAAGGTCTCATACCTGGCCCAGGGGGTCATCTTCAGTGCCAGACCACGACTGATGCAGAAACCAGCACCACCGGTGGCAAACCAGAAGTGGACCGGATGCTGTGGGATGAGAAGAATCAAGAGATGAAGTCAGAGGTCCTTCTTTGACACAGAAGAATACATGGAGCCAAAGCTTTGGCCACCACCCCAGAAATAGTTGGGATACAGGGAGAGAATTCCATCCATTATTTAAAAAGCAAGTCTTCTCCAAGTAACAAATGCCTCCTTGGAACCAGGAGAATCGGAAGATGCACATGGACAGTCCTGAATGTTCACCATCAAGTCGCCTCGTTCTCCCTGGTGGCTTACCATCTTGTTCTCGCTGATTCTCTCAGTGGCCTGGATAGGCCTGTCCAGGCTGGGTTTTCCAATGTAGATATCCTGCGTGTGAGTATAACTCGAGAGCAATTTGACCAGCATCCGTACATTCACATAATTATCATCGTCCACATGGCAAAACCACCTAATGCATGAATGAAAACAAGACTGGATTAGGTCCGGAACAAGGGAAGTCAAGATACTTAGATCACTGATCCTTGATCCATCGGGAAACCAACCCAATGCAAGCACCATTGATTTTAACTGAACCTCAGTGTGCAGGATCACCATGTTCACACCAAACAAGAAAGCCTTGATGTTCACCCAGCAGTAGCCGTCAGTTGTATGTCCTGACTCAGCTGAGTCATCATCGTCTTTTTTTTAACTTAGCAAGCTGTGTCGGCTCAATGTTAACCATAGTTTAGCAATTGGGCAAATCCAGACGTTTATTGTTTAATAAACCATGATTCAACAAAACATGGTTTAGTGTGTCATGCAAACCCTGACAATGGAGAGGGCTTTCTAAAGCAAAACAGCTTCCCTACAACACTACAAGTGACGGGAAGGAAATAGCCCAGTGCCAGATTTTCTACAACTTTCATGAGCCAATCAGTTAAAAAGAAAACTTAGATCAGTCTAAAGTAGCAAGACTTCAGAGCTTTTATTGGTTATTTTTAATGATACTCAGTTTTGTTTATTATCCTGGATTTCTGGTCAATGACCACAATAAAGTTTAAAGTTTATAAAGCAGGTTATTTTCAATGGGTGAACGCTGCTTTCCATTCAGGTCACTGGAAAACCAGTCTATTAAATGCAAGAAAACCTGAGGTCCCCTATCATTCTCAGGAGAACAATTTGCAGATTAATTGGGGAATCCTCATTAAAGCCAGACCTTGCCTTATGCTAAATCAGGTCATTGCTTTATTCACCCCAATATTCAAAGAGGCAACCGGTTGCTCTCCAGATGTTTGGGGCAGTTTCCAGAAGACCCAGTCAGGATGGCTGGGGCCAGAAGTTATGGAACATTTGGCCTACAACATCTGGAGTAAACCTGCTTTGGTCCTACATCCTCCCTGTAACAATACGAGGAGGAAAACAAAGGAGAAGAAGCCGTTCCTCCATGTAAGTGAAAAGAGCATGGATGAAGAAGACATTCTACATCTGAGCTATTTTCCCTTCCAAAAGAAGGGAATCCAGATCCTATGGCTTTCCAAACCACTGCTTTGAAACTCCCTCCCCAACCGCCCACTTCTCTGCTCTTACTTTCGCCCAGATTCAATGAACTTGTCATATTCCACTGCCATCTTGCAGGATAAGGCTTGGCGGCTGTGAGCAGCCGAACAGTTGGTGTTGATGACGTTTCCTGAAGGGAGACAAGAAAGATAGTCAACCGCAAGGTGGCAAGAGTCTTATTAAAAATGAAGTTACTAAATATGAATTCCAAAACCCACAACATGAGAAGGACCTTTATTAGGCCCAGCAAAGTGGATACTTGTTCAAAGGTTTTGCATACCCTTTGATGACCTTATGGTTCGTCCTCATAAAGATGATGCCCAACGATGGATTTTCCCCCTTATGGACCCATTTGGCTCCTTGGGGGGCGGGGGGAAATGACATTCTCCAATATCTTACATCTATTAGTCCATCTTGAGCAGCAACTCTTAGGTTACTGCTTAAGTTCTCACCAGAGATATGATCCAGCCTTGTAACCAAGAACCTCATCCCTGGATTAGGATCCTACAAATCACTTTGAGTTATAGCCCTTTCTCATATTGGGTTACTGAGCTTAGTGAAAGCTTGAAGTAATTCCCTGAATGTTTCCTCCACAGCCCAAACAGACTGCATGTCACCTTCTGCAGACGTTCAAATGTCAGCAGAGAAAAAATGAGATGCATTCTCCAGTCCGTCTGGTTGATCAAATGGATGTTCCTTTGTTCCCAGCCTTAACCCAGCCAGTGTTAACTCAGAAAGGAAAATGTGGGAGGTATAACGGCAAACTGGATCTTTCCAGCCCCCTCTTAACAGGGGGAGAAGTCCTTGTCCTGCTATTCAGGCCCCCTCTCCTCACCATTTGCCACCTGCTACCCTTTTGGGTGCCTGAAGAGGAATCAATTCAGGGCATGAATAGAGCACATTAGCATCAGAAGAATAGGAGCGTCTGAACTAGCCTTGGAGGAGGGAGCTCTCATTAAACACTCACTGAGTAAGTATTCACCTTCCCCCCCCCCCCTTGGGAAAGTCAATCATCACATTCCCTGGGAATCCCACCATAAGGGTCCTCCAGGAAAAGCAGCAACTCCAACACCTGCCAAATAGGAAATCCATCAACTCACCGATCTTCTGCTTGAGTTCTTTGTCCTCCCCATCCGTGAAGATGTAGGTCTAAAAAGGAAGAGAGAAACCCAAAATAAGGAAGGATAAAAACGTTATTTAGGAACGTCCCGCCCCAAACCATTTCAGCAAACACGTTACCCACAGTTACCGATCTAGATGGCATATTCAAATCCCATGCAAATTTCACCACTCGGGGATGATTTTCATAAAGGCATTTGTGAAACATTCCCGTTTCAATCAGGATTTGCGGTTTAGAGCGTGGTGCAAACCCAACCCTGGGTTCTTTGTAACTATTTGCTGTTACAATGGCACACTTTGCCAAGTTTTTATTTCTTCTGTTGCATTTTTGCCCCTTTTTTGCAATAGCACTTTTTAATTTTCTTCTTCTTCTTCTTGAGAGCGGATTATTATTTTTGTGTTTCGGTTTTCTTTTCTTCTTTTTTGTCATTAATTAAAAAGCCATACAAAATGGATTAAAAAAAAAAAAAACGGGGCTCCTCCGTAAACGCCCGGTTATTAAGCCAACTACTTTCGTGCATCATAAGCGTTCAATCACATGACTGAGTTTGCTGCATTTCAGGGCATTTTCAGGGCATCCTGAGATCTCAAGCCTTTTTAAAAGGCAAATGTTCACATGAGAACTTTCCTAAAAAAAAGAAATCAAACCAGCCCGGAGCAAAGGCTTCATTTGCATCGCAAGCAGATTATTGATTAAGCGTTTCAAAAGCGTGGGAAGGACAGGTGAGAAGCGAATACGTGGGCGCCTTCGCCACGTCTTGCTCACCTGTCCATCTGTCGCCTTTGAGATGGCGCATTCATCAGTTTGCATTAACTGGGGCGTTCTGCACACCTGCCGTGGTCCTTGGCTCCCCAACCCTCCCAGGTCTGCCCGTTCCCACCTTCTGGATCGCCCCAAGCCGGGTGGCATCTGAACTCTGGCACAAACTTCATCGTGCAGGGGCTGCTGACGCTGGTCCTCGTCCCCCACCCCCTGGGCTCGATCGATAACAGCGGCAACGGAACCCCTCCTGCCGGCAAGCGGGTCACCCCTAACG